CATATAAGCCTTGTTGTCTGTATATTTGCATTATAATACAGTCTTGGCGGTAGTCCAACTGCGTACGATGGATCAGATTTTAGGTTCCTTCTATATTTTACGCATAAGAATGATGATAAATAAATTATATCTGGATGTAGCCGACGTTTCTCACAGATCAAAACAAAAAAAAAATTAGTCTTGCAGATGCTAATCGAGATAATGCAACAATATAGATGTCATCAAGACGTTATCTTTTTTTTTTTGTTTGTAATCACGAAACCAAGACGTCATTATATATATTATGATACTCTCAGAACTTACGAATAACCGATAATAAATATGTTTGTTAATAATTTTAAATAGATAATCAAAGTAATTTTGAATATTTTATTGTTGATGATACTTGGAATGATGCATTCAAGTGATTCGATTATTATTTGAAGTGGTCTTCTTTTTTCTTATTTGTTGACAGTTAAAAGCAATAATTGTCTTGTTGCTTCGTCTATAGAAAATATACTAAAAAAGAAAAATATAATTAAAGAAGTAAATAGATACTTTTGAAAATTACAATCGTGAGTTGAATATTAAAACAAATGCTGATTAATGTAAAAAGATCATGATCGACATTAAGAATAAAATTGATATTTGATTCTTACTTGATTTGATATAGATAACAATGAATTCATATAAAAGTTATATTCATATTACTTGGTAGAGAAAAATATACTCAAACGATAGTTAGTCATAACACTGACGCAATTTATAAAATGTGTCATGTATTGAATACTACCTTGATATGTGAAATTTCACATGATTCATGAATATTAATAGAACTACGCAAAAGAAAATTGCGAAAATCGTTCTTTTAAAAGAAAAATATTATTTATCACTTCTGTTTTATTCTTAATACAAACTATTGGTTGGATCTAAAGTTCATTTAGAATTATTATTATTTATCTAATTGAGTGTATAGAAATTGACACTAATCGATGTATACTTATATATACATCTACCAATAATAAATATGTTGCGTAATTTAAATAAAACCTTTAATAAATTGTCTACTATACAAAATAAAACTACCTACAGAAAATTATTATTATTTAATTTTTGAATTAACTGCTGAAATTTATTTGAAATTACAACATTTATTCATTGATTGTTACCAAATAACAGAATATGTAAATTGTTCTCTTCATTAACTTAGTTATAGATAATAAACAAAATAAAAAAAAGGAATGATTTATCTTCAATTCTATATGAAGTTGATCATATAGTTTTTCAAACATTTATTAAAATTTCCTTTTTCAAAACATAATAGAATTAATAATTTTATCTTAGTTTATTCCAAATGAAAACTCCAGTTTTAACTGCTCCGAAACATCAGATGTATAAAAAACATTTTCCGTTCCAGAACAGGTCAAATCTGTTGATACGTATAATTTATCATTGACCTGACTGACATTGCCCCTATAATACGGCATAAGCAGTAAATATGCGCTGTGCCATAGTCGTTGAAAAGTCAATAACGCTGATTACAAAATGAAGATTAATTTCGTGTTTTTCTTGCAGAAAAACAAAGTTCCGTTAAACAAAACTTTCTAACATTAAATATCCTTGAAAATAGTCTTATAGTACAATCAATTAAATATTAAGTTTTGAAATAATTGAATGATATTTTCAACGTTATTAATCCATTTTATATCGATAGTTTGATAACAGTAATAAAACTGTAAGCGTATATATATATAATATTTATTCATGTTCTAGACAGAAAACAAAAAGAACAGATGTTGTCACAAATATTACAATGTGTATTGATTGATAAAGATTATAAAACGATGACCTTTATTTTTTCTACAAAAAAAAAAAAAATAACAAATAACATTACAGATAACCGAAGTACGTTTTTATTTATATATGTATATACTATCGTTTGAATGATTTCTCTATCCGAGCAAAGTAAAAATAACTTATTTTCTTTCTACTCGATTTATTACAATATCATTATTTATTGAATCAATATAATGGAACACAAATAAGAATAAATGATTTACTATATGTATATTTTGTATTAAAAATAAATAGGGTCATTAGTTTTCTTTGGAACATACTCTTAATAATTGTTGAAGTGAACCAAACAACTATTATAGGAACATTCTTATCTATTAACTTGTCAATGTATATTTATTACTTCATCATGTTACTAAAAATTTAAAAACATCTATTTTCTATATTTTAAATAGAAGAAAATTTTATTTATGAGTTGAATATTACGTTTTCTATTTTTTGTTACTTTGAATTTTTTGACTTTATTGCTTAATTTTGAAAAAATTTATAACATTTCCTAGACCGCAAAATCATTAGTATCACTAATTTTCTTATAAACGTAGAGGCTCGAATCTTCTTTATTCCATATGAAAATGAAAAGAAAACCAGAGAACGGTTGGATTAAATGAATCTGTACAAATGGAAGGCCTTATAGTTCCAAATATAACAAATGGAAAAGTAAAACATAAGTCAATCAGTGATTTCCAGCAGTACAAGAAAAAAAAAAGACCTTGTTTATACATTCCATTGATCAAAATAAAAGGATACATCCCATTTTTCTACTCATTTTCGTTCGAAATCATATTCATTTAAGAAACACATCTTTGACTACTGAATTGTTACGAAAAATTTCAGTCCTATAGAACGAAAAGTTGTTAAATAAATGACAAATAGATCTAATGTACTAATATTACAGTAAAATCAAAATTTGTTTTTTTTCTCATTTCTTTGTTAACATCCACTTCTAACACATTAGATATGTGCACGGTTACTCTTCACATTTCTATATCGAATAAGATGGGTTTTATAGATTTTTTGTTTTCTAAATATTTTGCGAAGGAAACTATTGAAATAGTATAGATGAAATTAAGAAAACTAGAGTCATTCGTCTGAGGTTGATATTATTTTATAAAAGCAAAGTTAGTAAGAGAACCAAGAATTTCGGTTACACTACTACAAGGGTATATCAAATACATTGGAGATTTTCTTTTCAATTGCAAAGTAGTTCTTCAATCGATTTATTATATTTAGCTCAAAATGACTATATAAAAATCTTATGATAATATATCAAAAGAAGAAAGGGAGATATCATGATGTCAATGTATAGTAGCAGAAAGAAAGAAGAACATCTGAGAAGAACCTGTATGATAAGAAGAAAGAGAGACAAGATATAGCAGGTAGGGCGACCAATTAGCTTACAGGTCGTAACAGTTTCATGGAGAGCAAATATTTTTTTTACTGAAAAAATAGGTGGTACAATCTATGTACTGTCGTTCTCAAAGAGTTACGTAATCGGATATATATCTGTAATATCTATATGAAATCAAACAACCATTGGGTTCAAAAATAACCAGTATATAGCAATATTCATTTCAAATTAAAATCATTATCGTTAGTCTTGATAATTATTGGTTAACTTCAGAAAAGAGTAACGATAAAACGTTTTCAACTGATCGATCGCTTTCTCACAAAAAGTTATCGAATTATGAGTTATTGGCTATGCTAATTCCACATATAATCATAAGAAATACCGTTAGATTTTTCTAGAAAACCAATTTGTTAGACTAACAAATATTTTGGCAAAATTCTTTTGAATTTACTCAGAAAATATCGAGTTGTCTATAAGTCAATAATCGTTTCTTTTTTCCAAAAATAAGTTTTAAATAAAATAATAATTATCATCCTGAAGATTTTCACATTGAAACGACTATATTTTCTGCAAAAACAAATGACTTAAAACAGAGAAATTTACTATTTTCTAGGCAATTTGATATTCTCTATAATTTACACGGATCAAAAAACTTTTTTTGGAAAAAAGTGTTTTAGACTAGAAAATCAGCATATAAAGATCTAAGGAAGATTTCTCATAATCATATTCGAAATCAACATGGTTGATAGCCTATAATCCACTAGCTTTCGATGAGAAAGACATGGATCAGTTGAAAACGCATAATCGTAAGACTAAAAATCATCTCAGTATATGAAGCATTTGTCAAAATTTAAATTTTTGATTTTTCATGTCCATTCAAATGGACATTTTCTGAAACCATCGAACCCAAAGTTTTACCTCATATGGATGTACTATCGTAAGCTTAGCCAATCTGTATATCTGCTATCATTTCTTGAAATCAAAAGAAATCAGATTGATCTTTTTTAAATATATTGTCAACATATGATTGTAAAATAAAATTAAATGTCACATTTATTTTATCTTACAATTGTGTCTTTACAATAAAAAAGCAACTAAAAATGTTTTTTTTTTCTTTTGAACAATCAACAAAAATCACTATGTGGAAGAGAGATATAAATATCATTTCGTCCTGAAGATAAACTTTTTTTTTTCAATGTTTTCTTTTTTTTTTACTATTTTGTAGAGAATAAAAAGTTACATAATATTTAAAAAAATTATCTAGGTATCTTTTGATTTCATAATCATGACAAAATATACACTGTTAAACTATCGATCATTATAAGTTCGTAAATTGTGACCTTTTTTTACTCATGTTGTACTGAAAAACCCCAATAGATATATAATATGTAATGATTTACATAGCTCATTCTTTTTTAGCTATTAATACTCTATCGCTTAGTTTATTGCACAAATAATTGTGTGATTTGTTGAAGCATAATCTCCTAATAAATATTTATGAGACAATTATTGACTATTTTCTTATGTTCGAAAATCGATATTGGATAGCTTTGTCATAACACATCCAAATGAGTTGAAATTTTGGATTTGATGTCTCCAGATAATGTTCTTTTAAATAGGCATTTAAAAAAATCAAAAATCAAAATTTTGACTAGTGCTTTAACTCCTTGACCTCCTCATAAATGCACTCTTAATATAATTGAAATGTTCGATATTTTTAATCATTTTGCTTTTATAAACATTTTATTTGAAAGATTAAAATCTTAGAAATGTTCTAATATAGACTAGTCTTTTGTTTTTTGTTCAAACATTACATTATTTATATTTGAAGTTTTGTTTTAAAAAATATAATGATACAAATGAAAATATAAAATTTCGAAGAAGAAAAATTTTTCAAAGCTGATGATACAATAAATTGTTTAATGTTATTAGCAATAACTTGATGTATAACGCTTGTAAAATGATAATCATCAATAAAAACATATCCATCTGGATTTTTACATTGTGAAATAATATGATTATCAAGTATATTCCAACATTTATCAGTTTTATTTAATATATACATTGAATTATTCGAAAGAATATCTGTTATTAATGAATATACATCAAATATTCTTATAGATACTGTTGTATAGTCGGCTAGAATGTCAGATATATTTATTACTAAATAATTATTATGCTGATTGATTAATGTATTTAATCTCGAATCGTTATTAACACCAGGAAATGATTGAATTGGTGGTACATTTATAAGAATTAGATGTTGTATTCCAACAACAAGTAAATCATAAACAGCAGCTATTAGAGAAGTAATCACTGTATCGGGAGATAAACTTGAATCAATCAGATATTCATTACCACTTGCCCAAATAATATAAAGTGTAGTTGATAAATCAATTTTACTTATATCAGTAACAGTTAAATAATCAACAATCTGTTGACGAATACCAGGTACGATTGTTCTATTTGGTCCAGTAAAACCTGCTACCAAATTATCATTATCAATTGTTGCATCACCATAAGCATAATTAATAATATTCGAAACATTGAGTTTTTCTATCCAAACAGGACCATTAGTAAAACGACCTTGATAATAAGGTGGAACTAAAGGCCAATGATGTTCTGTTAAATTATATACATTTCCCGTATCAGTATGTGAATCTCCAAAAGTAACAATTGTATCGAATGGACATTTTAGATAAAATGTTTGAACATGATCAATTAAAATAATAAGAATTGGAATATAAAATTTCATTAAATACATTTATTTAAACATTAAAAAATTCTTTTATAATTTTTCTATGCAAAAAATAATCATACACGAAGAAAAATAAATACACCATGTGCATTTATATACATTAATCATTTTATGTCTGTGTGCAGGTAGTTTTTTTTCCTATGTGTATAGAATATGAAACGCTTGCTAGATTCAAATCGGATTTTCGGTAGTACTCTATTATAAGGTCAGTCAACCGTGATTACACGGTTGAAAATGACTATCATGAAAAAAAAAATCTGAAATAGTCGGAGTTTTTATATAATAAATATTGAATAGGTATTTTAGAGCGTTGTATATGAATGCAATTATTTATATAAAATTGACATGTTTTTTTTTTGTATTTCTAGTGCACAATAAGGCTATATGCAAAAGTGAAGAGAATATAGGACAAAGGTTAAACAATCTTGTCATGACATATCGAATAAATCATTAATTTTTTTAATTTAAAATAGAGTTTTTTGATACTATGTAAATACTTGTTTGATTGTAATTTATCAACGTTGTAGAAAATGATTGTATGATATTTGATTGTGTCTTGATGTACAATATTTAGTTAGAATTATATCATTTTATTTTATTTTATTTTTTTTTTGATTTCTTCATATGATATGATTAATATCTTGAAACGAAAATATTTCTGTAAAGCTTCAATAGAAACAAGATTAACGAGAAAACTACCCGAATTGGTACCTGCCGTTTTGAGCTCATATTGAATTCACAAGAAGGTCTCGATAAAACTAGAAAAATCCTAAAACGATTCGTGCACATAGATCTCTGGAGCTGAGTTATGACCATTTTATTGAATTTTTCGAGTCAGCTTTAGATATTTACTGAAAAATCAAATCATTCTCTCTACTGACAGGAGGGTAATGCGCTGAGCAGCTGCAATGACTATATGTATACAGAATGAAAGAATAAAAAAGTATATGCATATAGTCATAGAACGAAAGAAAGTACACGTATATTACTCATTCTGTGAAAGTCATGATCGAAGCTGCTCAATTGAATATATGAGTCATTCTAGTATCTATTGTATCATTTTTTTACAAAAGTGATCGAAAGAAAAGTAAACGACTGTACTTAAAAGAGTCATCATCTGATAGAGAATATTTCGAAGTGTAAGAAAAAGTAATTTTGTAAGCTATCAGTCTTTTATTTTGTCTGATTCAGAGACCGAAAGCTTCCTAGGAACTCATTATAGGATCTATTGTCTTATTTGAGTGAAAATTAGTGATATTCAGGAATTAACGTGATCCTATAGGTTTCAGAAGATTTTCTTTCGAATTGTGTATCTAGAAGGAGCACAAAAATGATCAATTTGAGACCATTTCTTTTTTAGAGTTTTAGTCACGCAGAAGGGTAGTACTAACTAGAGAATAGAGCATATCATCGTATTTTTTTTATAACTTTATTCAGAAATGAGTTAGAGTCTTGATATTTGCAATATAAATTGTGGTTATCAATTAACAATTTATGGTAAAAAGTACGGTCTTGACTCTTTGTAGTTTGGTCAAAAGATGAGCAAAAAGAGGTGAGTCAAATTGTGTGCCACATGCCATTTGACACCACTAAGATGTAAATTATTCAAAAACAAAAAATATTAATAAGTTTTGATTTTCACTAATCGATAGTGCTCCAATTGATGAATCTTTTTATGGAAAAAGATTTGGCTTAAAGTCTTTGTTAGATTCACACTAGGCTTAAAAGAGAGTGGGATACTTTTTTCCTGTTTCCAGGAACCATTGATAGAATGTCAAATTTCTGTGAAATGACAATAGCTGGTAGGAAAATAAGATTATGAGTAGATAGAGCATTCAAAAATGATATAATAAAATCAATCAAACATCATTTACATTTTTTGTTTCAAGTTAAAAAAAAGACCGAAAGAAAAGCATCCAATCTGAAACCATCATAAAAATGTACAAAATGTCAAAAAAGTAATTTATTTGCAGTATTTTTCGTACACGATAAAAGATAGAAACCTGATTTTAGTACCACAAGTAGAGCATGACTGACAGATATTTTGATATTAATTTCGAGCAATCTGACCGAACAAGAGCTGAGAAATAAACAATGTCATTTTTTTGACGGTCAAACGATACAATAGACACCAGAATGACTCATACGTTGTAGAAAGAAGAGTCTTATAAATTTTGACGCAAGCCATTTTAAAAAACAACAAGCTTTCGATTTTTTATGAACACTTTACTAAAAGTCCTAAAAATGAGCATTTCCATCAAGGCATTCTTGACGGGACCATATCTCAAAAACGGTCAGATCGATTGAGCTGAAATGTTTTGAGGACATATATCTCGATAAGTTCTACTGACGAAAAAATTTTCAACTTCAAATATTGACTCCTTATATTTTTATGACTATCCAATATGGGTATAAATCCATATTTCAGACAACTTTGGTGCTTCATAACTCGCAACTGGAGTATGATACAAATCAGAAAATTTTTATCAGAGTTAGAGGTTATAGAGAGAAAAATACGCTAGAAGTTTTAGCCGCGTACACCATTCTTTTCGGGCGGTAGGATCCTATTAAAAAATGAATTTTTTATGAAAATCGTGGTTTTCAAACAAGGTTTTCTCCCAAGATATGGAGTAGCTTGATGGTTGAATTTAAAAAGCTGCCAGATCCATCCAGGATATGCAATTTCATGATAAAAATAGCTTGAGCCATTTAGAAACGGTTCAGAAAAAGGGTCACCTTTTCTAAACCATTTGAGGTCGTCAATGAAGGTAGGGGATTCAACAACTAAAATTTCGATGCTTAATTAAATGCTAGCTTGATCATTATATCTGAGTAACTCTTCATCGAGATCGTGCAAGTAATCATCCGGGGTCGATATCTCAAAGTTAGTCTCTCAAAAGAGCTCGATAATATGTGTATCCCGATTGTTAACGCGAAATTTTTATACAGCACTTCATTTTTTACACGAGTTTTCTCTCATGGATGTCCAGAGACCCGAGATATTGATTCCCGATTTTGAAGCTGAGACATAGTATATCTGAAAGAATGCCATCGAAAACATATTCCGTGTGTTTTTTTTAGATCAATCAGACATATTGGAAGGGAACAGTGAAAGAGTCTAATCTGTACTTCGAAAGGACCAGAGTTTCTGATACTAGGAGAAATTTCATACTTTTGAAGTTCAGCCCTGGAAACTTCTATTACATGAAAACAACGGGAAAAATTTTTTTTTGAAGACGCTCTTTCAAGCTGTCTAAGGATAAAAGTTCCAATGTAAAAAGTGAATTTTCGACAAAAAATTTAATTGACTTCGGAATCAACTCTGTGCAAGTCTGTAGCACTCGACTGCCATAGTTGAGTGGCTATGTCGTTCGACATGTACCTATAAAGTACTGTGTACAAACCTCAGCAGTATTTCATGCCGCAAGGTAGCTGACAGATAGAGGTATTCTACTACCTCTAGTATTCGTACTTCTATCAAAAACTGAATAAAACTTACATAAATGTTAGTTAAACTCAATGTATTTCAATTCATTTTGTACCTATCATTAGATTAACTTTCAATAAAAGTTAAGATTAGTTTTTTTTTATCATCTACGATGCAATTAATAAGAATATTTATTTTTTTCTTTGTTTTTTTTAAACATTTTCAAAAGAAAAGATTATTTGACATGATTAAGATATATGGCAAACACTATCTGACTATATTATTACAAGAAAAAAAACAAAACTCGATAAATACAAAAATGATTCACTAGAAAAAAAAATCGCTACAATGCTCACAGCAGCCCACATTGCATTTGCATAAAATTGAGAGATTCAACACAAGAGAAAAACAAAAGGATAAGAGATACAATTTGTGAATCGCTGATACATTCTATAATACTGTGTCGACACATCCGAAATGATTTGATTAAGCAGCTACAATTAAAAAAAAAGAAAAGAAATGTACGCAAAATAAGAAGATTTAATTGTATTCTATTTATTACTTGATGAATTTCCATCAAATTGAGCAAGTGCTACACGTAATTCTTGTAATTCACTTCCAATAAAATCATAAACTAATGCACGAGATGTATTATTTTGATGACGTTGTTTTGGTGGTAATGGTGGTTGATAATTATCATCGTCATCAATTTGTTCCTGTGGTGGTAATTGATAATGTTCCGAATGAACTAATTCAACTGTATGTTGTTTCATTAATAAAGATTTTTTTATTGGTATATGTTGTTTAGGCATAAGTATTGGTGCATCATCATTAGGTAGTTGTGTTCGTTTAGGTGAAGAATTTTTTTTTTGTTTAACATTAACATAATTATTATCTTGAATTATTGATTTTTTAGGTTTTATTGGAGATAATGATCGATCTTTTTCTAATAGAGGTTCATTATCTGTTAACTTCGTTTTTAATGGTAATGATATTTTTTTTTGCTTTTCATGTTCGGGTTCAATATTATCATAACCAATTAATGGAATTTTTTGTTCATTATTTTCATGTGTACTAAAACGAAAGAAGAAAATAATATTATTGATTAATAATCAAAAATAAAATTTTTCCTGTATATAATACTTGATAGGTGATGATTTTCCATTTGATTCACTCTTCGGAATCGTTCGATAGATTTCTTGAAGTTGAGCCTAGAAAAAGAAAACAAAAAAATTTAAATTTATTTCATAACAAAAAATAAAAGATAATACTTTTTTAGTAGATTGTCCTTGACGATTTAATGAATGATGTCCATTAGACATGAGTTGACTTGAACTATTTATCGATGAATTGACTGGTGTATCAGAACTAAAAAAACAAAAGTTATCAAAATAGCTATATATATATATTAAAATTGAAAATCCTGTAAACCGGCGTATGACCTTACACTTGACTAATGTCCAGCTCAAAATTAAAGAGAAGTCAATGTAAGCCATAGAGATCCATCGCGGCTGCCGTATCGCGACCAAAATCCAACTTTATCGCGCTGCCATGGACATCTCTGGTGCAAGCTCAATAACTTGACAATGGCAGCAGCTATCGACCTGCAGTTTTTATCAATCGGAAGAGGAGAATTCCAAATGTCTTTGCTTCGATATTATACAAGACAAAATTATTTTAAAACCTATCATCTTCGCACAACATTCAAAAAAACAACGATGTTCTATTTTAAGAAAATTTACTAAAAAATCGACAGAATTCTATATAATTTAACGGAATAGATACGCGATTTTGTTTGCTCAATATTGACGTACGAAAAAATAATCATATGAATCGTGTCTTGAACTATACATGTGAAGCATATGTCTAAATCAAAATTTCCTTGAATTAGAATATCTTTTCCACGAAATTTTTTAAAAAGTTTTGCAAAGATGATGCCCTGTTATAGTATTAAACAAAAAGACGTTCGGACTTATTTCTCTTTCGATTGCTGAAAATTGTAGATCTGTAGCTGTTGCCTTTGTCGAGTTATTGAGTTTATTACATCCATTTCCCTTTAATTCTGGAACGGACATTAGGAATACACCCAAATTCAATTACACAATTTGAATAGTTCAAATTTGTCTCGTTGATTATGAACTATATCAATAAATTATGTAGAAGAATATCTACCTTTGACAATTAAATGAAGATTAAAAACAATCCCAACTAATTGAATTTGCATTTTTTTGATTGACTCTAATAACGTTGCTCAAAATCCTTCGTTTGAAATTCTTTAATATCATTCCTGTAAACGACTCAAACGGTTTGGGCGCATGTCTACACTTGATAATAATTCACATTTTAATTTAATCATATTTGACTAGATGAGGTTAGTACCAGCACATTTAGGTTCGGTTCCGTTCATGCTTTATATTTGATTATTAATATCTATTATCTCAGATTACTTGCTAGGAAAGTATATATAATAACAAAAGTTAGCAGAATTCAAAAATACAAAGAAGATTTACAATAAAAAACCTTGAAGATTAGATAGACTTAGTCTATATATAACGAACGTATCAAATTATGGATACCTTCTAATGATAAAAATTCAATTAAGAAAAAAAAAACCATTTTTAACATTCTATATAAAACTTCTTACAATGATTTTGATCGTTCAATTGTAAGATAACGTTCTTTTCTTCGAAGTTCACGTTTTCCAACTTTAAGTTTAATAAATTCCAAAAATGCTTTTAAATCTTCAAATGGTGTTACCTATTGAAAAAAAAATACATACATAAAAATTTCGTCGTTCTCTCTCTCTATCGCAAATTTTATTTTCTCATACTTGTTTACAATATTCTTCAATTGGATGATTTCCATCATGTCTTTTAGCATGATCACCCGTAAAAAAACAAGTTTGACAAAGATCATAATTAAAACATCGAAGACATCGATATCTAAATTATACAATTGAAATCTATTATCAATTGAACTCGGGTTTTTTACCGCATGCCAATAACAGGATAGGCCTTACAAGTGTCACATTGTGCTTCATGCCGAACTAACAAAACAAAACAATTTTTTTGTAAATAACATAAAATTTAAGAAAAATCGAAATTGAGAGATAGTCCGATGTTTGATCTTTCACAAACAACATGATTTTTTTATTTAGCACTTCGTTTTTTGCCAAATTTTTGTTGATGATTTTCGTTGTCTACTGGTTTGAAAAATATACTTTTCTGGTTGTACAGTCCACAATTCTTGAAGGAACTAATTGCTTTCTTTTGTTTGGAAGAGCATGTGAAGTGGTAGTGTCTGCTTTTTTTTTTTAATTAAGCATTATTATTATCATATTAAAAAAAAGTATTTCTATAAATAGATGATCATGTCTCGCGGTATTGAACTTTTTATCCTTTTTCTCCGCATAAAAAAATAGTAATTTAAAGAAAAAGAAAAGTGCAGGTTAACATGTTCTTTGAAATAGAAACGAAATAAAATCTATAGATGTGACAGTTTATAGGAAATTTTATACTGCCAAATGAGCTCTTTTTAATCCTTTCTTGTTAAATATCTTCGGAAAACATGGATTGATAATTTTAGCATAGTCTCTTCACTAAAGGTCGTTGAATTCAAAATTTTCTGACCTGATCAGCTCTACAGTCTCTATTCTTCACTACAGCTTCAACATATCCTGAAAATCCCATGTAATTGACCCAAAATCGATTTTTGAGGGGACGGTGCTTAAATAAACTCACCTGTTTCTGTTGCAATTAATCGATGTAAAGTTGGTAACCATACTAATGTTTGTGGTTCTCGACCCATCCAATTAACAAATATATCTTCACGAATAATGCCATCATGAGTCTAATTATATCAAAATAAAAAAGAAATTCTTTTCAAGAAATTCTTTTTTTTTTCTTACATGATCAAGACAACTTTGAACACAACCTGGAATATTATCCAGATGAAATGAATCAACATGATCAAAATGATTAGGTAACTAAATAAAATTTAAAAAAATTCTAATAAAATTTAAAAAAAATTGTTTAAATTTTACTTTTAATAAAATTTCAAATAATTCAGTTAATCTTCCTTGTGATGCAATTACATTGGGTGAAGTTATTTGTCGAAAAAAACCTTTAATAAATCGATTTCTTTTTTTTTTCTCTCTTCAAAAAAAAAAATTTTTTTTTGATACGTACATCGATATTTTTCAGGTAACTTTGCATTTGATAATGCAAATAGAATTATTTTAAATGCATTAAGATCAAAATCTTCATCTATTTTTCTAAAAAAAAAAATTACAATTGATCTTTTAAAAGCTAAAAAACAAAATAATTTTCTTACATATGAAGAATTTCACAAAGAAATCTTAATAATGTATCAATTATTTCATCCATAGTTGATTCAGTAAAATGATATGATGATATAAGTTGATAAATAGCTGTTAAAACTTTTCGAGCATTTTCATATGTTATTATTGATGTTTCAACACCAAAATGTAATTGATGAGTATTAAATGCTCGTACAAGAATATTATAATCAACATAAGTTACTAAATAAATACAAATAAATTACATAATTGAGAATTTTTTTGTTTTTTTTCTGTCAATGATCTTACATTTAAGATATTTTTGTAATATACGAAGTTTACATGCTACACGATAAGCAGCAAATTTAATTGTTGATAATGGTTCTGAAATAAAAAAAATTTAATTAATAAGAATTTACCAATGAAAAGAAAGACAAACCAAGCCGTTCGATAATTTTATCATATAATTTACCGCTAGAGACAAAAAGAAATAAAAAATAAATGAATAGAATGAATTATTAGAAAAATATATGTATATATATATATATTTACTCATTTTCATCATTTGTTTCAACTGTTGTAGTTGTTTCTTCGAATTCTGTACTTGTCATTGTTAGATTGAACGATCGAATGTACTAATTTTTTGAACAATTATAAACATATTGTTTATTTATTTTTCTAAGAACTGTACTGTTAATTATATTTAGAAGAGAAAAATTTGTAGTTTGATTTTGAAGAAGAAAAAAATAATCTTTTTTATTTTTGTTTATTGATTATTTGATTATCAAAAAGGAAATATATTATTGTTCAATTATTACATTGAGCGACATCTTAAGAAAGTTATCATTGCTTAGGAACAAAATAAGATTAATTATCTCGCATGATGTTACAGATAATTTTCCTTTGTTTGAAAAAAAAAGTTTTTCCTTCTAGGACAATAAAACAACGACAATTTCTCTGTTTAGTATGTCTTCTGGAAATACAAGAAGAATAAGTAGAACTCCATAACGCATGAATTAACACAAACAAATAGAATAGTCGTATGAGAACTTTGAAGTTATTTTTCTAAATATTTCCTCGGTCTCAATTTTTCTCCAAACACATGGGTAGACTCTTCACTTCTGGCATAAGAGTTCAATGGATATATCTGATTGAATTTTGTTTCATCTATGTAGGAAAAAGAAAGATTTTCAATCAGCCAATTTGATTTGAACAATTTTGTCAAGCATTTTTGACGGAGAATATTAGTTACTTTTATTTTACATGAGAAAAAGTAAAATAATAATATGGTCAGTATGTTCTTCGCTGAAACTCGATGATTTTCATTTCGACGTTCTTCATTTCAATGCATAAATCTATCGACAATATTCTGCGATAATACCTGCAGTATATATATATATATAAATCTGACAAATATTCAACGAAACTGACGAATATGGACGATCGAAAGTCATTCGGCGATGATGTACACAATTTATCTTATCTCTAATGCTAATTAAATACCTAAGAGGCTGTGTCTTATATAGAAATGAAAATATCTGAACAAAAAAAATATTACGGTGTATTTCATAGCGATCAGATGTTGTATCGGCTTGAAATTTCTTTTATATTGAAAAGCAAATAATGTTCTATTGATCTAGTCTATCTAAATAAATCTTTTCACTAATTTGACAACAATGTATGTGGCATATGGCACAACAAATATTGAAAAAAAAAGGCAAACAACATTTGTTAACAAAGAAAGAATGAATAAAGATATGAATTTTGTTGGTTAGAAATGTACACATTAGACTTTGAAATTTTATACCATCTGTAAATTGTAGTCGATTATTATTGTTTAGTTGTAGCTTTACTTATTTCGAAAGTCTATTAGTTTCGCTTCTAGACTTACATCCATGATGAAAAGTCAAAGTCAATCTGGACTCTGACTTTTCTTTACTTTTGTAAAGTTCTAAAAGGACGTGAATCGTACTTCCAAAATACATCAGTTTGTACAATGAATATTAAAAATACCTGTATTGTTGAATCTAATTTACTGATAGGTAATTTCGAGAGCACCGACCGCTCGTAAAAAATGATTCCAATACAGGTCTCTAGTTTTAATGGTTTATTTGCTCATGCTCTTAATTAAAGTAATAAATAAATGTCATTTATAGACTTGACCTTCATTCGATCTGACCTTTTTATTACTATTTAGTAAATAAAAATGAAAAAATATTCTCATTTCTTGCATAATTTGTTATTAAAATTTATATTAATCGATCTGATTATTTAGAATTTAAGTTTGTTTTTTTTTTCAGTTGTTTTATTTCAAAGAAAAAAATTTTCTAATTTTGATGCAATGATTAAAACAAACAAATTAATCGTTATTAATTAATATCAATATGTAGTTTATATGATAAATATTTCTATTGACTAATTAAATGTAATCTATCAAAATTTTCAGTTTTATTTTTACTTTAAATTTTTTTTAACTAGACTAATTCATTTATCAGACATATAATTAAGTTGAAATTGTTTCCTGTCACATCATTTCTTTTGAACTTCATCAAATCAAATTAATATCAATGGATCATGCAAATATTTCACTACTATAGATTTTTTTAATAAAACTAACACTTAAATTGTTCTTATTATTTCTTTTTCTTTTTTTTTCTTACAGAACTCATTCAAATAAATAATTGCATTGTATGCTATCTCAATTATAGTGATTGAAACAAAAGAAAAATGGGCGGCGACTGTCTGATAAAATTCATAGTATATTAAAACATAAGTTAACATTCTCATATATGAAATTATAAAGATAAAACAAAAAACCAAATAACTTCACACGTCAATAGAGGCTAATAGTACTTGAATTGGCAAATGAACATGCATATAAAAAAAAAAAAAAAATCAAGAACGTGCTTTTGTTACTGAACAATTATCATATTTTTTTTATGTAAATTCTTTCGAAATGAATGTATATATGAACAAGACAAGGCGACGACGTTCATGTCAGCTAGACTTATTTTCATCTTTATGTTGATTGAAAGACGAGTAGTCATAGTATTCCGTATAATCATTAAACATCGACTATTTACTCGGCTTTTGTCTTTGTCATCACTACTACCACCATTTGTACACAAAGTTCTCGTGTTTGCGCTTACTCTTTGGTTTATTGTCTTGTGCGTTCGATATGTCTCATTCTCTTTTTTTTCTCGTCTCTTATTGCTCTATGTTTGTGTAGGCCAAATATGTCTCTCCTTCTCTCTCTCTCTCTCTCTCTTGCATTCACTCTATTTTTTAGTCCTCTTATTTCTTCTTCCTTTAAATAAAAGTATTGTTGAAAAAGGAATATATATATATATAAATATACTTTAAAGCTTAGGATATTATAATTCGTTTGTGTGTTAGTATCTTCTATTATCAAGATGCATTCAACTGCCACGGATAGTAATGGTAATTTACTTTATATAAAGGTATGTCTTCTTTGAGCTTATTCTCTCTTGAAATAGGATCCACGAGTGTAGCAGCATACAGAATGAGAAAAACAGCAGTTCGAGTCGACAGTGTAGAGTAAAAGAAAGTGAAAAAAAAAGTAGTCTTCTTTTTTTTTTTTATTTTACTTCTTTCTTTTTCTCTCTCCCATAGCTGTCCGCTGCCTTTTTTTTCTGAGGATAATAAAGTCGACATAGTTCCAACTTCATTCTTTTATATGTTGTTGTTGTCGTTGTCGTTGTCGTCGTCGTCGTTTTTCTTCTTAATTGTATGTGTCACTACGATTATATGATAACATGGGTCAATAGTAGTAGCAACTAGGTATCGAACACTAAGAGAGAAAAAAAAAGTGCCAGCCAGTGAATCAACTTATTATTATTGTTGAAATCGATCGTAAGTAAAAAAAAAAAAGACTGTGTTAGTGAGAGAAAGAAATTCGTATTCAGAATGAGATGCCCGATACGCTTTATCTGCATTGGCAAATATATTCCTATGTGTAATGCTTGACGATCAGATCGATTATGCAAATCAGAAATTGACTTGAGTATATATTTACTAAGGAGAAAAAAAATTTTTTTTTTAATTAATCTCATCTAGAAACGTCAATAAATAACAATCGATATTTCGAACATATTGTATTGATTTGATTTGTCATATATCGATATTAGTAAGATTTATGTTCTAGTCTAAATCGATATACAGAAACTGTTTTATCATGAATATATGTTTTTCTTTTTGGAGACAAAAAGAAAAATCTTTAGTTAATCATAATCCATAATGATTAATGCGATGAACGGAAATCAACTACTAGACATAGCAATACATATAATTTCACATCATAATTATTTCCTCTTTTTTTTTTTTTCTTCTCACTCTTGTTTCTTCACATTATTATCATAAAAGTCTTTCCTGTTGCTATTGAGTAGACGTGTATAAAATCTCTTGTTGTCATTATCAATAGCTCATAGCATTTTCACGTCTTTTTCTTTTCTTTTTATTGCTGTTTTAATGAAATAACGCAACAACAAGGATAACAACACAAGTTTTTTTTTTAAATATTTTTTTTTTGTTCTTCGATTATTTCCTGTCTGATCGTTATGTTCTCTATCTCAATTTCTATATAATAAAGAGAGGTAAAGTGTAGCAGTAGTTAACAACAAGAAAAAAAAACACTTATGTTTAACGGTGAGTGCTTAATGGATGCTGTGATTATGATAGGACTATGTGAACCTTTCGTTTTTCTTCCTGTTTTATATATATATATATATATTTGTGTGAATAAGAAAATTCTCGAGTCGGAAGAATAAGAAATGAGTCTTCCGTTTCCGACAGTATGTTAAACACTTTTATCAGGTGTATAAGATCGATTGTAAATGTCTAATCATGAATAAAATAATCGATCTTTTACCTGAGTGAATAATAAACGGATCACATTTATCATTCAGATTATAATGAATCGAATTCGTATATCATATCATTGCTTAACTTTGTTCTCAATGATAGATACAATATTTGAAATTATATTTTCCTTATCAATGACTTTCTCGATGATTCAAATTTGATGAAAGATAATAGGTTTTATAGACACACTTCAAAAAAAAAAATTCTTGTCTTATTTTATTTTTTATTGCTATTGACATATTATTTTCACGATCAGAGAGAATTGTTGGTTAATCTTGTTTGAGAATGAAGTAGAAAAGAATAATAAAAAAATAGTAAAGAAGTTCTTTTTTTTTTTTTTTTTACACAATCATAAAATGGAAGAGAACAAGATTTGTATTTATAAATCTGAAAAAGTATAGAACGGGAGAGAAATAGAATGACAGGTGTGTGTGTGTATATATATATGTGTGCTCTTTCATCTTTTTCTTCTTCTTGCACCAATAATATCAGATGTATGTGTATGCGTAAAAATGAAAGTACGTGTGTAACATAAAAAGAAAAAATTTTTGACAACGACGAAAAGAATATATATATTTTTTTTCTTCTTCGAACAAGTTAATTCATACTTTATCATGTCACAATCAGTAAATCTTATACGTGTAGCTAAACATAGTCTTGATGGTACAATTATTTATCCTGATTATGGACAAAATACAATATATTATCAACCTTTTGATTCTTCAACAAA